GCCCCCCCTGCCTGCCGCTGCCGTCGTCCAACTCACCAGCGCGAGCGGACGGTCCGCGCGCAGCCCCGTTGTCTCGGCGGATGCAACGGCGCACTTTAGCAGATGCTTAGGCGAAGCGGAGGCGCACGTTAGAGGCGGTGGCGAGGATCTGGCCGCGATCAAGATACAGTCCGCGTTCCGTGGATATTTGGTAATTTTTTTACCCCCTTTATTGGTTTTACTTTTCTTTATTCATACAAAACATATATTTTTACTCATACACATAATTAAGAGAATTATTATTTACATGAATAATGTGGAGTTTGCTTAGATATTAGTATTAATTAGTTATTAGATTTCTTAAAATTTACGGGATTAACACCCGGACCGGGTGACAAACTTGGATGTCGTTAACCAGTCGTGTTTCTCGACACGTGTCTTTTCGTCTTCCAACCCCAGACGACCGATTGTTTGCCATTTTTCTTGGGAATTATTTTCTGTAAAATAAAGAGATATAAATATTCCCTTCTCTTAATTCCTGGTTTCTTTTTTCGAGAAATCAATCCCCAGTTTTCTTCTTCGTATTATTGGCTTTCTAATTCACCGGTTTAAACCGGTACATACATGAATACCTTCGTTTTCATTGGTTTTCGGATTCACTCAATCGGTTTTCGTGCCTGCAGCAACGTGGAAGCTTCTCCAACAAAAAAAGTAATAAATTAACCCGTGATTTAATCTTATGTTATTTTACTGATGCCTCTAATTATAAGTAATCTGGCCTATGTAACAGTTTCTTTAATCATAAGCTACCGCTAATCTATCTGCAGCAGCTAAGCTATGGTTTTGTTTCTCTGTACCCAAAAAAGTATCGTCTTTTTGCGCTTTCGCCAATATTCTTCTCTTTATCCTTTTTGCAAATTTTTGGGCTCTTAATTTTTTTAAATATTAATTGCTAATAACCTATCTGTGTTATTCGCCCTCTTGCCGTATAATAAGTGTGTGTGTGTGTGTATATATATATATAAGATGCTCACAAGTCATTTATAAGTAATATCTTTGTGGTCGGAATTCTAATCGCGAGAAAATCTTGAAGATTTTGCATATCGCTCTATTTCCATGCACGCGTATGACTTTTATATAGAAATAAAAGCTCCGATTCTTTTTTTCTTGGGAGGTATTATTGCCATAAATATGCAAATTGATATAAAGTCGCAAAGTCTGCACAAATAGTCCAATAGAATCTGATGCCGCTCTTTTTCCTCTTGTAGCCCTGCTAGTGATATGTCTGCGTCATACAATTGTTTTATTTTGCTCGTTTTTTCAAAGTTTTTTTTGGATATGAAAATTAGAATTCAGAATTCGTGGTTCGAATCTTGGAACGGAATCTTGAAAACACGTGATGGGTCTGGTTCTTTAAGCGTGAAAAATGCATGGATATGTTACGTACGAAACGTTGTTAACGCCTGATTGTTGAGAATGTGAAAGGCGAGGAGGGCGTTAAGGGCGTTGAAAGGATTGGTGAAGCTACAAGCGATGGTGAGGGGACACATCGAGCGGAAGAGAGCGGCCGTTCATCTCAGGAGAATGCAGGCTTTGGTTCGTTCTCAGTCCCGTCTGCGTTCGGCACGTGCCCTCGGCTCTGAATCATCCTCCTCCCTTTCCAACCCCAAGTCGTCTCACTTCCCCAGCCAACCGGTAAACCCCACAAGATCTTTCATATCTTTATCAAGTTTCCATTCAAGAACTCTCTCCTCTGTTTATAGTCTGAAATGATTGGTTTCTCAACGTCTAGCAACTCTGTTATCGATAGGGTCCTCCCACCCCGGAAAAACTCGAGCATTCCATCCGTTCTCGGAGCGCCAATTATGACCAATCCCACGTTCTCAGGGTACGTTTGCACGGTATTGTTTTCTTGTAAGCATTTCCTGGTACGCCTTTGTTAAAGTTGGCAACTCTCGGTTAACAGATCGGATTTGGTTCTGGTTATGCTAGGATGTTTGCTGAATCGAATGCTTTATCCGATTTAACGGGTTCTCCAAGTTCACCCATTTTCGAGTTTTTTTGCTGTTTGGATCATGAATCGACAACCTTTGATAATTCATATGTATTGTATCAGCTCATATTTTAAGAGACCAAAACCTTATCCTGTAATCTTTTGGAGTTTTGTATAATGTCTGACATTGGAGTGAAGTTGCAGAGAAACGGTTCCAAGACAAGCGACAAGATCCTTGAGGTCGACAACTCCGCGAAACACCACACTCACACTAAACGCCGACCTAACATCTTCTACTCGACCCACCTCGTATTCAACAGCTCTGACCGTTGCCCTGCTTCAACCGAACCCATCCTCGCAAGGCCGTTTAGCCCGACATCCTCTCACGAGGAGGAAGTGAACAGCCACTTCTGCACGGCCGAGAACAGTCCGCAGCTGTATTCAGCAACTTCTTCACGAGGCATACGCAGTCCATTCGCGTCCAGCACGGCTCAGAGCGTCTCCATGAGGAGCTGCTTCGCCGACCATCCTAACTTCATGTCTTACACTGAATCTTCACGGGCAAAAGTGCGGTCTGCAAGTGCTCCGAAACAGCGTTTGCAGAGCCACTACGAGCGGTCTGCGTCTGCCAAACGCTGCGATACAAAGTTGGGTCCTCAGAGAGGTTCTGCTTTGCACACGAGCTTTATGAACAAGGCTTATCCCGGTTCAGGCCGGTTAGACCGGTTTGGGATGCCGGTTGGGTATAGGTACTGAAAGGTTGATGGATTGGGTGTCGTGTAAAGCATATGTTGAACCGGGTTGCTTTTTTTTTACAACTATATCGGATGCCTTTTGGTGTGATTTCGACCGGTTTGGTGTATTGGATTGTGCTTCTAAGCTTGCGTGGTTTGTAGTCAGGAGTTCTAATTCATATCTAAAAAACGAAAACAGAACTTTGATCATAAACTTAATAATCTACAGTTTAGAATTAGAAATTTCGAAATCAGATGGGGAAAATGGCATTAATTTTCCTTTTTTCTTTGATAAAAAAGGTTAGCATTTCAATCTGGATTTAGACACGCAGGTGAGTTTATAGCACCACTTACAATAGCTGTTCAAGTTCACTCCTCTGAAGAGCATCACCAACCCAAAGGCAAACCTGCACCAGAGAACCGGTTTAGTAAACCGAAAAACCGGATAGTATACCAAACAGGATCATGGTGCTTCTTACCCAGCTGCAAACAAAATCGCAGCGACGAGACAGAGCATGCATTGGCAAAGGTTGTACTTGGATTGGACACGGGAACCAGGCCGAAAAGTTTGTTGGTTTGCCTCCCATTCAAACTGGGGACGCATCAGAAGGACAAAACCGAGAAGAAAACCGCCCAAGAAACCTCCTATGTGAGCAAAATTGTCGACTCGAGGAAGAGTCCCTAACGCTAAGTTAACACCAACAATCACCAAGAGCATTATCAGAGCTGCAACCTGCAATGAGCAGAAGAAGAATGCCGAAGAGATTATGCTTCTGGATCATCTACCCTTTTTGCCAGCATTTCAAGAATTTGATTTGAGTTTGGGTATTTGATGCATATAGAGACAGCATACCTTGTTAACGTAAATTGTCCAGTTGATTAGAAGTTCTGATAACATTGCTCCCAGAAGGCCGAACAGAGCGCCTGAAGCACCGACCGATATACTATGCTGAAGGAACAGCGAAGATAGAATGCTCCCACAAAAACCCGACACAAGATAGATTGTCCCGATTCGAACTGCAAGAGAAACTGAATTAGATATCATCTTCTTGTACCCTTACTAAAAAAAAGTACAGGCTTCAGAAGATGCGGAACTAATCTTGTGATGTAATTCATTAGAAAGATATGCAGATGAGACAGAGATGAAATGTGTTTCGGGGAAAAACCAACCGAGCAAAAAGAGTTGTATTATACGCACCGAAACCAAATTGCTGTTCGAGGCGAACTCCGATGAAGGCCACACACAACATGTTTGCCACCAAATGGATGACACCAGCATGCAACCACATACAAGTGACTAGTCTCCAACCTTGGTGCTCTTGAACTACTTTCCACCACGCCAGTGCTCCCATTTTAATCAACCTGGAAATTTGTAAATGGTTTAGAACCAATTGTAATGCAAAGAATGAAAACACTGAACTTATGGTTTTGGATTAGCAGCTTCAGGTTTGGTTCCTTGGCCAAATCCTAAACATTTTCAGCTCTAAAGATTGAAGGAATTAGCAAATCATTTTCCTACAATTCCTAGGAAAACCATTTTCTTATAGTACTTCCCGGAGGGAGTTTCTCAGAAAAGATCAAGCATACTTCTGCAGAGAAATGCATTATAGACATGCTTGATGATCAGCATTGGATAGAAATGATAGTCCAGAAATTTACCAACTCAAATAGAGGCAAACCCAATTGGACATTCCAGATTCGGCACATAAAGAAACTCAATCATAGACCACTAAAGTGTCAGCAATCCAGATCAGACCTATGGACATTGCCCTAATATTCATTGTCAGGAAACTCTAACTCAAATTCAAAACAAATGAATTTGATGCCATATATCCAACTCCAACCCACATGCAAAATCCGAGAAAAGATACCAAATTCGGCATATGAGAGCTTCAACTCTAGCTATGTCGGAATCATGCGTAGACTACCAACCTGAATTCCTATCGGATTCAATAAAAATCAGAATCCATGGCAGCAGAACAGAGCTGATACAATGCAAGAGCCGGTTCGCGCAAGCCATTGTTTCGAACTCAAAACTCCGGTCAAACGAGACGATCAGATCGAAGTGCAAAGCAAACCCAACATCTAGAATCTCACGGAGAGAATATCTATCAAATAATGGGGATTTAACTAGTTGTGATCATCGGCTAAATCCCATGAGTGACAAACGGGATTTTTGAAATTTACTCGGGTGGAAGATTCCGAAAAAGAATCCAGACCAAACTCGCTATCTCAAAATGTTGCAGAGGACAAACGACCAAATGAGTGTTCGAATCACTCACGTCGATGAGGATGGACCGAGAAGGGGATTCTCCTTGAACGATTCAAATGAGAACCGTCCAAGGAACTTTGCGAGACATCGGTGGCTCTTGCCGGGACAATCGTTGACGTACATCACCACGACGAAAACGACGACATTCGATATCACTACCGCCGGAATTACCCACGACGTCGATTGCACGTCGGAGATTTCTCCATGGGCGTCTCCTCTGTCTCTCTCACGTCGCCCCCTTTCCACGTCCTCCTTCGCCATGGAAACCCCCCTCTCTCTCTCTCTCTCGCTAGATCGATGCAGTTTGAATCTCGTTGAAAGTCAAAAGAATCTGAATTGGGTTGTTTCTCGAAACAGAAAAGGGACACATTTTTTAGGAAAGTTTGAAGCTTTCAATCGGTTCATGAAAATGAACGAGAGACGAGAAAACTGTGAACAGGAATTTGCTGGCAAGAGCCATTTCTCTCTTTAAAAAATATATATATATTACTTAATTGTCTATATATCAAAAATACTTTTACATTTGCTTCGTAGTGTGATCTCGTAAATTTAACATTATTACTAATGTAATCACCATATAATTATATTATCATTTTAACCACATAAACAAGTATGGGTTAAAATCAAAATATCAAATAGAGGGTATTTTTGATAATACCCTATTTAATTAACATATGAATACGAAATCATGTGTTCATATTCAGATTCCATTTATGTGGTGACCATGAATACGATCCATAGAGGGTGATATTATTGCATAATGATCCCATATTAGGTATTTCGGTTCAGGAACTGATACATTTTCCCATCATTCGCCAAAAACGGCCCCAGGCCCTCCGAACATTATGGTCCGACCCCAGTGTTTATCCGGGTTGAACTGGTAGTGCCTAACGTAGTCCCAACCGATGTCCGACACGATCTCGTCATCGACTGTTATCGGGAAAACTTGCTGCTTGGCGTCATCAACCACCGAGAGCTGGCGAGCGTATGCGTGAAGCTCCGGGCTATCACCCTCGATCTTTAAACCGCTTCCCATCGGGCTGCTCTGGAACGCCGGAAGACTGAACAGCTCGCCCCCCCAAAAGATGTCGTCCGCCGTCGATTTCAAGTCCGTGAAAATGTGCGACGGCCAGAACCCTATGTCGGTGTCGTCCTTTCCCAGGTTCAACCACCAGTTCCCATTCACTTGGTCCTTGTGAGAAGCAAATAAAAAGTTCAGGGGTCGAAATGCAAATCCTAAGTAATTAGCTTATGACAGGACGTATTTCTTTTGTTCTTGATTAGTGCATTTTTTACCTATATATCTATATATGGCAATATATTTTCTCTCCAAATCCTCTGAGCAAACATGATGCTTAACAATATTGGATATATATATATTACTTCCACAAAAAAACATTCTTGTACCTATCACTATAATCAGATTGTCTAATATCAGTGAAAATGAAAATCACCATATTTATAGTGCTGTGTATCTGGTTTTTATGGTCCCATAAATTGTATTTTTGGGTTATGATGCACTATGATAAACTCGAATGTATTCATATATATATATATATGCATAATGTGCTCGTGTGCCTTATATATATATATATATATATATATATATATATATATGTATGTATGTATGTATGTATGTATGTATGTATGTATGTATGTATGTATGTATGTATGCGAAAGCATAAGTCACAAAATTAGTAAACTTACTCTGAAAATGTAGAATCTATTCTCGATGGTTAGAACACCGGTTTGTGAGACATCGGGAAAGGCATAACCGAGAGGAATATCTTGATTTATCAACACAAAACCCGGGCATTTCACGTTGAAGCATCTTTGCTCCCGAGTCTATATATACACACACACACATATATATATATATAAATAAGATTCAAAGTAATAACACACACGACACGCGCATATATATATATAGAGAGAGAGAGAGTGTATGCGTATATGGATAAGTCAACGACTTACATGTAAGAAAGCAAAAAGTCGACATCGGTCATCTCCATAAAGTGTAGGATTCACCTGTATAGTATAGATTAAACACAAAATATGATGTGTATATGCATGTGTGTATATGTATATGTATATGTGCATATTGAAATGGAATAATTTAAATTATATAAAAGAGAAAACGGACGCACCGTCCAGCCAGCTTTGATGTAATCTGAACCGTTGGAGACTTTGATGAGACCGGAGCTCCATTGAAGCTTATTAACGAAAGGGGTTTGGTACAGACTGAACCACGCATCCCCCCCTCCCAATGGCATCCTCATCCACTCTGGTCTCACTCTTCCTCCCGCGAACTGATGATGATAATAATAATAATCCATTCTTTTTTTTTAATTAGGAGATTTTTAATTATCTTCCAAAATCCAATCCACAAACAAAAAAGATTTAGGAGATTTTTTTAACAATAATACATTCTTTTTTTTATCTATTCATCATATACATGAACATGTGGTGGACGCTATTTTCATATCAATAAATTTTTTTTATATAAAATCAAAGTTCTGTTATTATTATTATTATTATTATCCTATATTTTATTTCCAAATTATAACGTAAAAGATCTGGAAATAATCATTCATTTAACATATTTAAACGTCTCATTATTTTTTTTTATAGTTCTATCATTAGTCTATCATATCCTACGGGAGTTATATAAATCAGATAACAATTCTTTTTTTTATATATAAAAAAATTGGGGAGAGCTCACATGCAAACCGGGTTCGGACTCAGTCTGAGGATGTAGAACCGAATCGTACATTTCTGTGAAGTTCTTTTCCCGAATGAGATCTTCTTTGGTGGTTCTCCTTATTGGGACAGTGCCACGTGGACATCCCACTCCCTTCAGTTCCGCCGATTTTATTCCCTTCCTGTTGCGACTCCGTTTAGATTCTTCTTCGGTCTCAACCCTTCTGTTGACCTTGTTCGGTTTCATCTAATCCCCCAAAAAAAAAAAAAATCGAAGAATGGACGGCCAAGATCAACTGTTTGTGTCGAAGCAACTATAATATTATTTTAATGTGAAAATTTCAAATATCTACAAATATATATATATAATCAGAAATACTTACATCGAAATGGAAGTCGTGATTTTTTAAGAGAGGATGGTCGAAGGCAGGCTGTTTGTAGAAGTCAACACAATCATAAACGTCTCCATATTCCGTCTGAAAAAAAAAGAACATGCAAATACAGTACGATTTTAATTTAAAACATGAAGGCACGTGTAACCCCGTAATTTAATCTGACAATTCTCATAATATTATATGTTTTTTTTTATAACTGACTTTCCATCCCATCAAAATCTTTGTCCAAATATTATATATTATATCTATAGAATAATATAATCACGAACTTGGCAACCCTTTTTTTTAAAAAAATTTATCATGAATTTTTTTATAAGAAAGATAATAATAATAATAATAATAATAATAATAATAATAATAATAATAATAATAATAATAATAATAATAATAATAATAATAATAATAATAATAATAATAATAATAATAATAATAATAATAATAATAATAAACCGCACGATTAATAAAACTATTTATATGATCCTAACCTTAATAGTTTTAATGGCGGGGGTGTTTATAAATTTTACTTTAAGCTGTCTCTCCAACTCCAAGTCTTCCTCATGAGACAGACCTCCCACGACAACGCAACTTGTAATAAGAACAGCAAGCCCTAAAATCAAAACTTGTAATAATATTTTTTCACTCATTTTTCCGAGCGCCGTTTTTTTTTTCTTTTGAATTTTCTCTTCAATTTGTACTTGTATATATACCGATATATATACACACACACACCGTGGAAAGGGTTATGTACGGTTTCTTGATAATGCTTGTTTTCAAGCAATTAAAGTCCAAATCGGGAAATTTCCTCTAATTAATGACGAATCTGGTGCTGGCTGGCCTATCCTGAATCCTGACACAAAAGGACTAATTAAAAAAAAAAAAAGAAACAGGCATATGCGTTGGTATATTCTGAACCGGCGGGATCCATATATAGATTGGGTGTTGAGATTCTTTTCTATACCCGACATCGGTTCGTAATAACATTGGGCGGTGTTCTTTGGTATGCATGGATTTGTTGATATACTTGGCTTTTAATTCAATGTATGATATTAAAAATATATATGTATATATTTACCAATTTTGAAAAGAATATCTAACCCCATTCGAAAATCGTAGTCGAATTTTCTATATCTTTTATATGAGTATCTTCTTTTGGCAAATGAAGATGCATTCGGAAAATAAAAAGCCCCAGATTGGAGTATTGTATATTTGCTTAGTCCCTAATACGTACGGAAAGATTTATATATTTCTAACATTGATTTATATTAAAAAAATTTAAATAAATGTATCAATACCATAAGACAAAGAATGTAACATATATCTACACACATTCGCATTCGATAAACCGAAATCACCTTTTTTTTTAGAAATACTCATTCAGATACAAAAATTATCAAAGATATATTTTAAACTCGTGATCTGTGAAAAAAAAAATGCGATTGGTCATGGATATTATTTATATAAAACGCATATCCTTATAGAAAATTGAAGATATTCGAACATTTTCACATAAAACCACAAAAGCACCAAAAGAAGGTTAATAATAAACCGGCGAGTGCAGAATTTTTATTTTATTTTAAAATTTTGTCTCATTAATATAAGTAGGCAGCGCTAATCAACGCAACTCCACGCCCGGACCACCGTACATAACGGTCCGACCCCAATGTTCGTCCAACGTAGCCTGTCTGACGTAGCCTGGACGTATGTCATTGGCCTCTCTGCTTTCGGTTGCCGGGACAAGGACGTTCATGTGGTCGTCGAGCACCGCTATCTGACGGTGGTGAGCGTAAAGATCCGGATCGTCTTTCTCCGGGATCAGCCCGTTTCCTACAGGAATACCTCGATTGCCCGGAGAAGTGAAGACTTCTCCGCCGAAAAATACGTCGCCGGCGGATTGGGACAGCTCCTTGAAGAGGATACCCGGCCAAAACCCTACTTGTTCTTCTTCAATCGAAAGAAACCAATTTCCACTGTTCGTTTCCTTGGAAGGAAAAAAAAACAAAGTATAGGGGTTAGAAATGCAAACCTGTGAAACTTTTGGGGTTTCAAGGAATTTGCCCTTTTCTTCAGACCTAAATCGTTGGGTTGGGTCTATTGTAAGCACAAGCTGAATTCAACTTCCTATTATTAGGGTTTTGAAGATCTCAACATCATGTCGAAGATTTCAAAACATGTATAGGCGTATGTACGTACGTAAATATATATACATACATATATATGCATGAGAAGTGAATAATGGAGAATACAAGAAATAGCATACCCGCTGAATCAAGAATCTCATCTCGGTGACTTGTTCTCCAGACTTTGAAACTTCGCGGAAAACATAGCCAAGGGGTAAATCTTGGTTGACTGACACGAATCCAGGACATCTCGCGTCGTAACAGCCTTTCGTTGGAACCTGTTTATTTATATATATATATATATATATATAATACGTCATCACAGTTTGAACGTACGAGTCATATATATCGCTGAAAAATGCACGTAAATACATTATATAGTCATGCATGGCAACGTGTATACGTATATATAATCCATATACAAGTTTATGAAATGAGGCTTACTATCCAGAGTGTGAAAAGTCGAGGACGATCATCGCCATATACCAATGGATCTACCTACAAACCACATAAATGTAAAGTGAAGCTCACAACTCGTGTGTGTGTGTGTGTGTATATATATATATATATTGATCTATACATATACGCACCATCCAGCCAGCTTTTATAAATTCAGGACCGTTTGATATTTTTATCAACCCGGAACTGAACCAATGCACGCGAGTATCCGGCAAGGGAGGTTTCTCTATGCTTATATAAGCTTCTGCTCCTCCCATTTTCATTCCGCTCACAAATTCAGGTCTCACATAAGCCCCTGCATACTGTGTGTACGTATTTTTGTTAATATTAATTAATTGTATATATCCACATTATCACAAACATTATAACAAAGAAATCGAATAATATTCAAGTGTTGGCATAGTATATATATATATATCGATACATTATTCCAAATCCGAAATTCGTATTGTCAACCCGAGATCATTGCAAAGGGATTTCGATCCTATGTTTAAGAGAAACGAGGGAGAGGAAGGGAGCTTACGTGGAGTCCCGCCGTGTTGCCATTGAGAGGGTGAATGTTTGTGAAGTTCCTAAGCCTTATAAGATCTTCTTTGGTGGTTCTCCTAATCGGGACGCTGCCACGTGGACACCCGACTCCTTTAATCCCCGAAGAATTGTTTTTGATATCACGATGCCTTCTTGATGGGCTGTTTAATCTCATCTACTCGTGTTTAAAAATAATTAAGATTGATGGAATTTGATATTCCGGAGAATATTAATTTAGATTTTTGAAAAAAAAAATATTTTCTATAAAGAAATCGTAGAAATTTCTCGGTCTTGTTTGTATATGTTTTGAGAATAAGATCTTCATTGGTTGTCATATAGTATTAAGAACGGTTATCCGTTTACAATTTTGTAAGTTCTTTTAACAATGTTCTTTTTTTTTTATGTAAAATATGATATATAGGATCATACGTATATGATTCAACGCTTAATATAAACATCTTACCGTGTAATAGTGACGAAATAGTAACGCAAAAAAAGTGTCACCAATAGCACCGTCACCATTTGCGATTTCGTCACCAAACGTCACTCGATGCCAAGCGTCACTCGATGCCATTTTTTAAGTTTTTTTTCGGGTGCAAGAGTGTATGAGGATGTTATGTGGTTTAAAGAAAATAGAGTGACGTAATTTTACCACTAAAATAAATATGGTGACGCAATTGCGTCACAAAAAAAAAAAAATTAGTGACGCAATTTCGTCACCAAAGTTTTTGTGACGAAATTGCGTCAGTATAAAGTAATGACGCAATTGCGTCACCAAATAGTGACGAAAGGGTGACGAACGTGTGACGAAATTTCCGCGCGTTATTTGGCGACGCAATTTTGCGTCATCACTGCGTCACCAAATGCGTCACCATTTGGTGACGCTGGCGTTTTCGTCACAAAAGAGTCACTATTTAGTGACGCTCTGGTGACGCGTTTCTTGCGTCACTCTTTCGTCACAAAATCATCACTTTTGCGTCACCCTTTTAGTGACGCAAAATTTGCGTCACTTTTTGCGTCACCCTTTTCGTGTTTCCTATAGTGGGATAAACAATTAAAAGATTTGAATATCAAAACACTTACATCGAAATGAAAGCTGTGATTTTTCAAGAGAGGATGATCAAACGCTGGTTGCTTATAGAAGTCCACGCAATCGTAGATGTCTCCGTATTTCGTCTGAAAAAATAAAAAATCATAAATAAATTATGGGTTCATTTTAAATGGGGTATTATCCAAAATACACTCCTGCTAAAACTACTTCTGCATATACCATTCTCCTTTTGTGTTCTTGTGACCAGAATTCAGATATGATCACATGATGGTCACATTTGTCATAACATTAGATTTATTGTGATTACATCAAATCAACATGGTCACACCTTTTCGTGTTTCCTTATAGTGGATAAACAATTAAAAGATTTGAATATCAAAACACTTACATCGAAATGAAAGCTGTGATTTTTCAAGAGAGGATGATCAAACGCTGGTTGCTTATAGAAGTCCACGCAATCGTAGATGTCTCCGTATTTCGTCTGAAAAAATAAAAAATCATAAATAAATTATGGGTTCATTTTAAATGGGGTATTATCCAAAATACACTCCTGCTAAAACTACTTCTGCATATACCATTCTCCTTTTGTGTTCTTGTGACCAGAATTCAGATATGATCACATGATGGTCACATTTGTCATAACATTAGATTTATTGTGATTACATCAAATCAACATGGTCACACCTTACATATCACACTAATCATTTGGTAAAATCATCAAAATTTAACGTTGTGACCAATGCGACCATCATGTGATCATACATGAATTCTTATCACAATAACACAAAAGGAGAATGGTATATGCAGAAGTAGTTTTAGGATAAAGAGTGTATTTTGGATATTTTACCGTCTTAAATACCGACATATTTCCATTGTGTTGTCGATATTACAAAAGGAGATTATTTAAAAAAAAATACAAATAAACAAAGAGAAATTATAAATAATTAATACCTTAACAGTCTTAATCGCCGGTTTGTTGAGCTTCTTAAGTTGCATCTCTAATTCGAGATCTTCATCCGGAGGCAACCCTCTCCCTTCTACAAAGCTTGTGAACACAAAAAACCCTAGAAGAACTATGAACATGGCTTCTCTCATTTCTTGCAATAACCTAATTTTTTAGTTTTATCACCGCCGCCACCTCTCATCTTCAACTTATATAGCGGTTGTAATTGCGTGGATTTTTGGATTTAATGAAAATAATATTTCTTTATAATATAGGATTTTGTCTGTATTGGAAAGAAAATCTTTGTTTTAAAACGTGATGTGCATAAAAAGAATATAATCTTCTCAAATTCTAAATGTGATTTACATTTGGGTTGGGCAGTTTTATGAGTGAGGTTCACCCAATCTATATCATTAGGTAGGTTTAACATTATTAAGTATGATTACCCCACAACTAAGAATCTGCTATTAACCCACCAACCACATTTCGGTATGCATATTCACATTCAAATTGAAGCAATTACATAAGTTGGTAATCTATCATATATATAAATCTTGTTTCTACTCAATTTGATATCATAAAATTTTGCAAAATTATGTTGAAATTAAACTTGATTTTAAAAATCAATTATATAAATATTTTGGTATGATTATGAAAAATGTGATTAATATGAAAGGTGTGTGAAATGTGAGAAAATGTGATGAAATTGTAGTTTGGTGAGGTAGTTAGAAATTCTGTGTAGAATATGTGTGGAAGAAAATTGGGTAAAAATATGTTTAATAAGTGAGTTAGATATGTAGTTAGGTGAGAGTTTGTAGTATAAATATGTGTGTTTGTATGGAGTTTGAAATCAAGGAAATTTGAAAAACATTCATCTTCTTAAATTTTCAAACTCTTTCTTCTTTCAAATATTTTCTAATCTCCTCCAAAAATCCTAAACACTAAATAATCCTCCTCCCTCATCTGAATAATCATTTTCCCTAATCCTACAAATTATTCACCAGCGGCTAAAACAGGCCACAAAAGCACCGAATGAATGCAAAACCTAATTTACTATTAATATCAGTATTGGATATAGCAAATGGTGACACTAATCACCCAATTATATGTATTAACCAAGTCATAAAAATGTATAATATTTCCGTTCACTGCGGTATTTTTGAGCTTTTAAACGATATGATACTGTGCTGGAGCGCGTGTTGCGAGAGGAAAAGCCCAATAGGACCAATTAGAGATAAATATAATGGGCCGAAGGCAATTACGGCCCAGATGACACCTTCGGATTCGTCCACAGGCTTTGACGAATGGCAAATAAGTAAATAATAGCGTAGATGAAGGAGAAAGCAGAGATTTCGTATTATTTCAGAACACTTTTTCCGATTTCCACATTATCCTCTCTCCCTCTCTCTCAATTTCTGGAAATTCGTACGTTCAAACCCTTTCAAGCGAAAGCTCGAATTGCAATCCGTTGCATGGCATTGGTCGATCGTGATCGAGAATTCAGGAGCTAAGAATGTCAGAGACTACGATGATGACAGCAGAAGCAGATTCGGCGGAGTCTCTACCGTCTTCCCGCGTCGGTAGCACTGCCTCCGATGGTGTCATCGACACCACGCCTTTCCTACTATCCGGCGAATCCAGATCGGAAAACGCAGATGAAAATTCTGGAGATAGCCGGAGGTCCAGTAGACGGCAGGGCCTGAGGGAGGCGGCGAGATTCCTCCGTCACGCCGGGAGCCGGCGAATGATGCGTGAGCCTTCGATGCTGGTGAGGGAGACCGCGGCGGAGCAGCTGGAGGAGAGGCAGAGTGACTGGGCGTACTCGAAACCCGTTGTGGTCCTTGACATTGTTTGGAATGTGGCGTTTGTGGCCGTCGCCGTGGCTGCCCTGGTTCTCAGCCGCAACGAGCGGCCAAACATGCCGCTGAGGGTTTGGGTGGTGGGTTACGCTCTCCAGTGCTTGCTTCACATGGCGTGCGTGTGTGTGGAGTACAGGAGGAGGAGGCGGAGCGGGAGAGGGACGCCCCACCGATCGTCTTCATCTTCTTCCTATTCTTCCTTGGACGATGGTAATCAGGGTTTGACGAATTCATCGCAGCAGTACGTTTCACTTGCGCAATTGGAGGAGGGTGGCAACACCAGGTACGGTATTGTCAGTTTCTGTTCATGTATTTCTGATGGACTTTCTTTCGTTTTACATTTTCGGAGACTTCCCATAATGGAGTCGAGTTGGAGTTTGGTGTTGGATTGGTTCTAATACTGTTTGGTCTGGAATTCTAACCGAACCATAGGTTTTTCCTGTTGGAGTTCTGAGAAACTGGAAATGAAGTTATTGCCTTTATCCAGTTCAATGTGGGGGAAACCACATTTCGTAGGTTCTTTTCATTGAGTAGAATCCTGATTATTGAACGCTAAGACCATAAAAATCTCTGGGATGAATCATAAAATTGGAAAAGGGATTCCTTTTTCTGTACATGAGTAATGGCAGCTGCTTATTGTATCTATGAATGAATGCCACTTTTCCTGTATATCTTCAGCTCTTGGTTGAGGATGATACACATTCTCATCAAGGCTAATCTTCTTTCAGTTTCCAATAAGAAAAAATTATGGAAACAGGGGTTATCGTCGGTATTTCTTTTCAGTGGATTGATGTTGTCTGCCATTATGGTTAACAGTTCAAGCCTGGTGTAAATCAGGCTGTGCGATTGATCTTTGTTTCAGGAATAGATTAGAGAATTTTGGTCGTTCTTAATTGTTCTATGTAAGATGCAATGATGGCATGTTAGCCTGTTTCTCACTTCTTTCATTAAACTTTTGTTCACTCAGTAGTTCTGCAAAGCATCTAGAATCAGCCAACACAATGTTCTCATTCGTCTGGTGGATAATTGGATTCTACTGGGTATCTGCAGGCGGCCAAACACTAGCACACGACTCTCCTCAGCTCTATTGGTATGCTTCCTTTCCTTCTCTGCGTACTGAATTTACAACTTTTCTGCATGCATCATGAACAATGGTATTGATTCTTGTTTTTAACCTGCAGGCTATGTATCATTTTTCTCGGTTTCGACGTCTTCTTTGTTGTTTTCTGTGTGGCACTGGCTTTTGTGATTGGCCTTGCTGTTTGCTGCTGTCTTCCATGTATAATTGCAATTCTATATGCTGTGGCTGACCAGGTAGCTCTCTTCTGCCTCCAATCTGATACACATTTTGCGTTTCAGTTATGTTTGAACTCGATGTAGGCTAAGCGTGCTCCGTCCTTTAAGAAGTGTAACCCGTCATGTTCTACAATTGTCTTGTGATGAAAAACTGTTGAAGCAGGAGGGAGCATCAAAGGATGACATAGAGCAACTCCCAAAATTCATATTTAGAAGCATTGGTGATGATGAGAAGTCCTCAGGCGACGCACAAAGATCTACTGCCAGAGGAATAATGACAGAAAACGGGACAGATTCCCCTATTGAACATGCACTCTCTGCAGAAGATGCGGTAATTTCTCCATGTCCATTCTTGTGCATGTCGATACTTTTATTTTGGCTTTACTCGTGAACTCAAACCAGTGAATATGAAAGGTTTCTCCCTTCAAGAGTAACATTGATGGAAAACATGGAGAAATAGTTAAAACAAGAAACAGTCGTACATGGAAGGTTTCTCCCTTCAGACACAAGGGTCGTGTAAGAGTTTCTATTTGGTGGGTGGGTGGTTCTGTTTGTGTAGGAATGCTGCATTTGTCTATGCGACTACGAGGACGGAGTGGAGCTGAGAGAACTGCCGTGCGGCCACCATTTCCACTGTGCCTGCATCGACAAATGGCTTCACATAAACTCACACTGCCCTCTCTGCAAGTTTAACATCCTCAAGAACACCAACGACGTCTAATTCCGACAACAAGCTCCTCTCCAGGTATATATATGTATGTATGTATGTATGTGTGCGTGTATATATGCATATACCTCTGGTGTGCGTTTGTGTCTGTTAGTGATGAGAATGAATATGCATATACGCTTCAGCGGAGAGAATGAACTCAAAACTGTTGTCTTACGTTCTGATTCTCTGATGTGTTTCATCTTCTTCTTCTTGTTCTGTGAATGTAGTGGTAACTGTTAGGCTATAAAGATATAAATCCCTTTTTGTGCTGACATTTATGGGTGGTTTGGTTGTAATGACTGAGACACATGAAATTCATAAAAATTTACCCTTTTAAAAATTGGGTTTCTCCCGATCTAAAATACATTTTTCATTGACGAAGAACGAAAAGGACCAGGCCGCAGAAGAACAAGCCAGAGTAGCCTTTCTTCAGCCCCATGAAGAAAAAAAGACCCAACAAGCCCAAGGCATCTGAAACAAGTAACAGCTGAATCTAATCTTCCTCCTGTCATGTCTTTCACCTGACATTGTCCCCTTTTCACCGCCATGGATACTGATACAACAACTAGGCACACTATCCCTACTTCCAGTCACTGACTCTTTAATTTATTCTGCCCATGTTTCCCCACCACACCCTCCGGTGTCTGCTCGCTCACCTCCACGCTTTTACATGGATTCTCTGTCAATGGCTTTCCTCTTCGACGAGGTTAAACCAAAGTACGATTCACCCTGGTGTTATCACCCTGTTTTTCATTTCCCGAGCTCGAGCCACGGCTCGTTATGGTTACTGGAGTTGTTCTCCTCCACCGGCTCTGACTTCACGTCTGACCCACGTTCCCCCTCCTGGGAATTACTCCCTCGCCCCGTCTGTTGCCTCTCGTCGTCCTCTTCCTCTGCCTCTGCCTCCATTTCATCTTCCTGTCTTGCCCGTTTCACCCCGATGGATACCCCAAACAACCTCGGAGTCAGATCTTCGTCAAGCTTCAAACCACTCCCTTCTTCCATCCTAGAAGCAACTGTCACGGCCTGCCTCCCCAGGAGAAGGTCCAACGGTTTCCCCTCGGACAGCAGATTCGAGCAGTCCACCTGACCAGCAGAGAAATTCGTCATCAGCACGTAAATGTTATCGTACAGCCCTTTGAGCTTTCTCAGCTCCTGACTAAGCTGCATGTTCTCCTTCCTCAACCGCTCGTTCTCCTCCATCAGCTCTGGTGCAGTGGTACAGCTCGTCGTCCTCTGCAGAAACCCCGAGCCGGCAGCTCCTGCCGCAGCGGCCATACCAGCGGGGGAAGAGTTGGACGATATGACCTGTTCTTCCCCGGAATTCGATGGAGAGATTGCGTGAGCGGCCAGAGGCACTGCCGCGACAGTTACCGCAGCTGGAGCTAAAGGCTGTGAGATCTTCCGCCTCTGAATATCACGGAGCAGATTCTTCTCCCCTTTTCGGAAACAGTCGTTGGAGAATTCCCACCGGTCAGGAACCACTTTCCGGAACCCCTGAAACAACGTAAAGGCCTCGACTTTAACGAAGACAAGACGAATCCGAGATTGTCAGAGATGGAATAGAGAGGAATTGAGGAGAGACTACGAACGTAAGTGTTGAGCTGACGGACGAAACTGGAGAAATTGTTGTGTTTGAAATACTTAGGGAGCAGATCTCTGGCGAATTCGGCGGGTCTCCAGACGATGAAAGTGGTTCCGTCTTCGTTCCAAGAGATGAGGTCGTCCACCGATGGATCATCCACAAGCTGATACGTTTTCGTCAGAAATGGCGTCGGCAGAGATCTCTGCGAATCTCCTCCTCCTCCGCCGCCGCTTCCGGCACTATTACCGCCGCTGGTACTGCCTCCTCCGCCGCCTCCGCCGCCGCTGCCGCCGGCAGTCGTTGGAGTTTCTACGATTTGTTCGCCTGGCATGAGCCTTAGATCCGGACCTGAAGAAGCTCTACGTAGGGGACTGAAATATTCCGACAGAGATTAAAGATCAGATTCAGTTACGCGTGAAACAGAGAATAGAACTGCATTCTTTTGTCTGAGAAGAAAAAAGTTCCAAATTTTTTTTTTTTAATTCACGGGAGAGAGATAAAAGACACGAACCTAAAAGAGTATGAAACGATAACATATTACGGGAAAGAGACAAGGAAGAGAAGCAAAATCGATACCAATCAAAATCAGCTATGTCTCGTCTGGCTCCAGGAAGAAACTCGAAACCATAGATCGGAATCTGGTTACACCCAGAAGAAAAAGGATGCGCCTTTCGTCTTCGTCTCGTCCATGGAACCTCGGAAGCACCGAAATTTCTCGCTCTCTCGTGCTATGCTTCTCCGTGTTCCGACCACCAACCAACCAGGGTTAACACAATGATCCTGAAGGAACCCACGACGAACACGCACGTTGATCTCACGCGCTCAGAGAGAGAGGGAGAGAACTGTTTGGTCTGGAGTTCTAGAAGCTTCCTGTTAGAACGAACGGATTGAGAAGAGAGAGAATGAGGGAGGGAGAGAGAGAGATCGCGAGTTCCAGAAGGAAATAAAGAAAAATAATAATTAAAAAAGAATGGAATAAAGAAGAAAGGGTAGAAAAGGGAATACAAAAAAGGGATGTGGGGCCTATAAGAGAGAGAAAGAGGATAGGAATAGGAAGGCGCGAGAAAGAGAAGAGAGTACGTGTCCTTTTACGTCATTTTCCAGAACTTTCTTCTGTCTTCTTCTTCTCTCTCCCCTTGCCCTCTCTCTCTCTCTCCCATCTCTCTCTCTCTCTCTATATATATATATATATTTTTTTTTTTTCCCATAATTTTGAGTTTTGTCGATAACAGAATTCACCTGCGTGGAGTTAGTATTATCCAAAAAACAAATTTAACATTTATCTTTATGTAAATTAGAAACAGTATTTTTCAAATACTTGAGTCATGCTTTAAATAGATTAATATAAATATAATTTTTATGGGTTTTTAATATATTTTCCGAGAATTCTGTGATAGTATCTTAATGGTAAAATATGGTAGAATTAACAAAAATTCAACCTTTTTTCCAAACTCATAATTGAGTTTTAGCATATTTTTAATTAAAAAAATAATGTGGCAGAATATTAAGACAAGTTCTAATATATATGTATATTGAATAGAATAATATAATTATTCCATCTGGAACTTCGTACTTTTACATTTTCATTAAAAGTATAAGTACTTTAAGTTATATTTTAATCGAATTGCAAGTGAAATAAGGTATCATAAAATAAACATACATTTTAATTATTCTTCGTGTGAGAATATCTATTTTGTAGGGTTCTCCACTTCTCGCTGTATTGAATGGAAAACTCGAGCATCATGTGTTAATGGTTTCAATATGTTGCAAAATTATAAAATCCGAAAATATCAAAATAAATAAATTAAGTACGTTATTGTTTGTTTATATGAGTATAAATTGGTACTTAAATGCATTTATCGAGATCCTCATAAATAAAACACAATAAATTTAGAAAATTTTAGAAGTATAACCGATATCCGTGTAAGGAAATGTCTCTCTTAAACATCAAATGTGTGAGTGAAAACGCATTGTATTATTACAAAAAAAAAACAAAAACAAAAAAAAGAAGAAGAAGATATTTTCACACTTTGCAAAATGTTTTTTTTTTTGGTCCAACAAATTTGCTCAATAATATATTTAGCTTTCGTGTGAAAGGCCCAAACAATTTGCTAATTGTAGGCCCAATAGTTACTATGAAATCGTAGGCCCAATTATTTAGGCGAAATGTTATCAGGTGGCCCATGTGCTACTCCCGATCTGGGAGGTGAGAACCACGCGCTTTATATTCCTTTTTTTACTCTTTTTTTTTTTTGTGGTAAATATTTATTATAAAATTAAAATTTTCCTTATATTTAATCCCGGAACATGACATTGTGGGGCTGCCTAAATTGTTAGAAAATTCCATCAAGCAAAAATCATAATTCTCTTGAAATTAATCCCATCTTTAGAACTACGTAATTGCCCCTCGAATGCCACCTTATATATAGAAGATAACGCCACCAATACACGAAAACAAAAACCACACGCACAAACCAACTTATTAACACAACGGCTCCTCTCTTTGCATTTGTGGCCCTAACCACCTTTGTGGTTGCAGCCAACGCAGCCACGTTCCAGGTGAGAAACAATTGCCAACAGCCCCTATGGGCCGCCTCGTCAGCGCCCGGCAAGCCTCCGAGCGGAAAACGACTCGGGCAGGGCGAGACGTGGACCGTGACGGCTGAACCAGGGACCACCCAAGGGCGCATATGGGGTCGGACCAACTGTAACTTCGATGCATCTGGACGAGGAAAATGCGAGACGGGAGACTGCAACGGCGCTCTCCAGTGCTCGTCTTACGGACAGGCCCCGAACACTCTAGCCGAGTACACTATCGGCGGATTCGCTGACCAAGACTTCATCGATATTTCCGTAATCGACGGATATATTAGTTGTTATAATTCGGATCAAAATTTAGATATGAACGCCTATGGATGTAGGCTGAATTGGGTCATGATAATGGGCCAGAATATGGGTCTCTCATTTGTATGGACTTTTTCCATCGAAGAACGAAATAATTCGAATATTTTTTGAAATATTATTGTTATTGTTATGCTATTTTAGAGATTTCGTATATTCCGCATTTGGACGTATTTTGAGGGGACGTCATATGATATATTTATTTAGACGTAATTGTCAATATATATATATATATATATGTGTGTGTGTGTGTGTGAAAATTAGTTTAACTGATTTAAATAATAGTGTAAATATCATTATACCATTAAATTTTCTAAGTAGAAAAAGTGGCGTAGAAATTGGGAAAATATGATGTCAATCAACCGAACAAATCTTCTTTGAATCATCCATCTCGACACGTGGAATGTTGATTTCGTGAAAGATTAAAATACCATATATATATATATATATAGTCCATGCATCCGTGCATGCATATTGGGGAAAAAACTATGATATTGACGTCGGACCTCTTGCGAATGGAAGAGTGGAGGCCGATGGAATACAAGGATGAATGATCAACGACACACCCATCGTACTCTTCCGTAAATTGCCTCCTCTGATCTGTTCAAATACAAATATCAGCCATAAGAAAAGGTTAAATTTGTAAACCCTTTTTCTGGGCATTGTATGAATTTCATGAAAGATTCTAATATTGGGATGACTTGCGAAAAGATTCCTTCAACATGTTCTCTCATCTTGTTTAGGCATTATATATATATATGTATTCTCTGTAGAGTCCCATTAAATGAAGATGTTCACTTTCCAAAAGCTACGTTAAGATGCGAGTTTCACGTAGACTTTGGAAAAGAACTATTTGATGAAAGTATAATAAGCAGTTCCGTTCCGCCTTAAATGACAAAAATAATGAAAATCTCGAGTTTGTGATATTTTTTTTCAAATAAAAAATTGGGAATACAATACTAAAAATACAAACTTTTGTATCTTTTTTTTTATATAAGCTTTGTCTCGGTAGTTACAACAAGATCAATGTGCAAACGCTAGCTAGGGTTACGATTCGAAGTACCTTGTCTGCAACCCAAATCACTCTTCATGCTTCTGTACATCTGAAAACACACACACAGAGAGAGAGAGAGAATCGTCTCCCTTGTTTTTTTTCTTTCTTCTTTTTCATAAACAAAATAACTTACGGCTATATTAAACAACACAAAAAAATAATTTCTAACTAATTAAATAAAATTAAACCACACAGATTATAAAAAAAAAATGTTTGTATAGAATTTATGTATTACCAAATTTCTATTTTATTGGATTTTTTATTGTGTTATATTTTTATGGAATTATTCGTAAAAACTACTTAATATATTAAAACTATTAGTAATAAGAAGAAGAATATTGTTTTATAATTTGATATTATGCCATAATTATCATTTCATTGTCGTATCAAAATTTCCAGGTTATGTCACCTAAATCCTGACTTTTGTTTTTGACAATGAAAGCAAGCCGCCTCTATCTTTTGTAATCCAAACAATGTATGGAACAAATAAACTAACTAATATTTTTTTCATCTCTATTATAACCTACCAATGTCCAAATCCCATAAACATAAATTAAATAATTGATTCCACAAATTATTTACGTAACCTCAAAACGTAACCAAACTTGTATATAAACCCACCAAACGCATGGTAAAAACTTACACCAAAACAATGGCCAACGCCTCGTTCTCTGGTTTCATCGCCGCCACTCTCCTCCTGATCTCGACCGCCTCAGCCACCACGTTCGAGATCCGTAACCAATGCACGTACACCGTTTGGGCCGCCGCTAGTCCTGGAGGCGGCCGCCGTCTAGACCCCGGCCAGTCGTGGACGCTAAACGTGGATATTAAGACAAGTTCTAATATATATGTATATTGAATAGAATAATATAATTATTCCATCTGGAACTTCGTACTTTTACATTTGGATTTGGGGTCGGACCGGCTGCAACTTCGACTCTTCTGGTCGTGGTCGGTGCCAGACAGGTGACTGTGGTGGTGTGTTACAGTGCACTGGTTGGGGCCAACCGCCGAACACGTTGGCCGAATATGCTCTGAACCAGTTCAACAACTTAGATTTCTATGATATGTCACTTGTAGATGGATTCAACATCCCTATGGATTTCAGGTAAAACCATAAACATTTGTCAAATTATTTAGTTTATATCTTAAAACCATTACTAGTGAGTATAAGAGATTTTATGTGTAGTGTTTAGGTTTATTTCTAATTTGTTGCAATTTTATTTTTAAAATTATTTTACTTCGGCTTCGGTTTATTATGTATAACAAATCGCTCGACGTTTTCATTTCTCGCGATCAGGGATGGATACAAGTTGGATATTCAGATTTTTGAGATATTGTATCTTGATCTCGGTTTCGTGTCTCAGTCTTGCGAGACTTAGATACCCACGAGACCGAGATCAAAACCCGGGTACCCGAACCCATACAACTTTACAAAGTTTTGTTAATTTACGAGATAATCTGTTAAGAAATAATAGAGTCTGAACTTGAATCTATCTTTTAAATTTCTCATCTCGTATAATTTAACATCAGTCTCGTTACTTTTCGAGTATCCGAAATTGAATACCGGTAAGATAAATTACCCAAAAATCCTAAAAAAACGTTCACCCCTACTTATAAATACAAGAAATTTATACTAAACTTTCTCTGTGTTCTTTATTTTCTCTCAAAAATTCAAATTGTGATACCAAAATAATCTTCGAACATTTTATATATGCAGCCCTACAAACGGGAACTGCCACCGAATACTATGCAATGCCGACATCAACGGGCAGTGTCCGAACGTACTGAGAGCACCAGGTGGGTGTAACAATCCGTGTACGGTATTCAAAACCAACGAGTATTGTTGTACGAACGGACCAGGATCATGTGCTCCGACCACTTATTCGAAATTCTTCAAAGACCGATGCCCCGATGCTTACAGTTACCCGCAAGACGACGCCACGAGCACTTTTACTTGCCCCGGCGGATCTACCAATTACAGGGTCGTGTTTTGTCCTAGAGGCAGCGGGTTTCCTATAGAAATGGTCACCCAATAATATACGAAATGATGCGTCGTCTAATCATGTGTATCTGCCTGCATACGTATATATGTATACGTGCATGGAATTTACGCACGTCTGTACCATGTACGTACATCCATGGATATTAATGAATGAAATAAGACTGTGTTGGTAACGATTTCTTATCAATTTGTGCGGTTCTTTTGAAATCTTCAATCGAATTTGTAATCAAATTGGCCTGTATTTATGGCATATATGATGATTTTAACCAAAAAAAAATATATGATGATGAAGGGAGTTTACTAAAATAATGCTGGCGATATGAAATATGCCGTACACATCTATATATGTATCCATTATTCTCAACTCGAGTTTACATATAATACAAAGACCATACATGTAGTCATGTTAGAAAAAAATAAATAATAAAAGGTACCAACCTATATAAGCTTTTAAAAAATAAAGTACGTCAAGGCCCACAAAAGTAATATTAACATTTGGGCCTTCGATGGGCCTCGAAATTTTCCCAAAACCCTAGTTAATGGGTTAGCTTCATCATTTTTTTTTTCTTCCGCGAAAAATTCCCAAAATATAAAATCAGACATCCAATGAAATAAATGTTCGTCTTTCAAGGAAAAAACAACTGAAAAGATAAATGTATGTAGCGACGAAGGAATCTCCGTTCTTTATTAATGATATAATATAATGTTGATATTATAATTACTTTTCCATTTAAAAAGTAATATTATTAAAGATGTCATCTCACATAGCAAAATCGGCGAACTCATCGTCACGCCATATCTCCTGCTGGAACTCCAACCATGAGTTGCCCCCTTGTCCATTCACGAAAGTCCTGTTGCACCTCGGGCAAGTCCTCCTGTCGCACCATATGACCTTCTCCAGCCTTTTCGCCATCTCCGTCACCTCCTTCTCCATCACCGGCCTGATGTTCATCTGTCACATGTGCCGTTTCCTTGTCAGTGAAACCACCACCTCAAAGATCATCTTACAACACAATGTTGCCAACGTTATCTATTTGAACATAGCCCGTGGCCCTGTGGTTCGAGCTCTTGTCCGTCCCTTAACGGTCACGGGTTCAAGCATTTCTGCGTTAGTGAAACCACATAAGTATCTTACAACACAATGTGGCAACAGTATCTAGTTGAGCCATAGCTCGTGGCCCAGTGGTTCAAGCTCTTGCCCGCCCCTTGAACGGTCATGGGTTTGAACATTTCCTGTTAGAGAAACCCCATAAGTATGAGGCAACATTATCTAGCTGACGAGCTCTTATCCGTCCCTTAATGGTCATGGGTTCGAGCATTTCCTGTTAGAGGAACCTCAAAAGTATCTTAGAACACAATGGGGCAACAGTATCCAGTTGAAGAAGAGCTCGTGACCCAGTAGTGTGAGTTCTTGAATGTCCTTTATAGGTCACGGGTTCGAAGATTTCCTGTTAGAGAAATCTCAAAAGTATCATAGAAAACAATGTCGCAACAGTATTTAGTTGAAGAAGAGCTCGTGGCCCGGTGGTTTGAGCTCATGTCCGTTTCTTAAAGGTCACGAGTTCGAATATTTCTCTGATAGAGCAACCTCAAAAATTATCTAGTTGAAGAAGAGCTCGTGTCCCGGTGGTTCGAGATCTTGTTCATCCCTTAAAGGTGGCGGGTTCGAACCTGTGTGAACACATTTCAACAAAGAAATAATGAAGGAAACAGAAGGGGGCTTACCCGGTAGGTGGGAAGCTCGTCCAACTCAAACACAAGGCAATGAGCTACATTCAGAGCGAGCAGGCTTGGTGCGTGTTCCACAAGGTGGTAGAGAGCATCCTTGTAGACGATGGAGGATCGCAGACTCAGAACCTTCAGGTTCGGGAGAAGATTAACAACTGCCTCTGCGCAAGAATAGTCGAAGGTGTGGATCATCTTCAGTTTCGTGAAGTTCTGGCAGTGTTCCCCCAGGAATTTCATTACACTGGTCGGACTGCAAATGGATGGGAACGTTATGGACTCGAGATTTCTCCATCCGGCAAGGGAACGAATGAATGTGGTTTCATTAATGTTATTCCACCCCGGTAGAGCAAGCCATTTGATATTCGGAAATCTGCAGAGCACACACAACAAAAGAGAGGAGTTATGGTAGCCTTCCTTGATCATACCAACCAAAGTTTTGAAAGGAAAACCCCATGACAAAACAGCATTTTCTCAAAGAAAAAGCACAAAGATCAAACAAACCCACAACTTTCCAATTAAAATGCAATAAAACATACTCATTTCAGGCTAAATTTTGCAGAATTTAAAGCTTTACAAGTTTGGGCAGATAAATGAGTGATGTAATGATAAAATTTACACATTTCAACTTAAAATAGAAAGAGTTTCTGAACAAAAATCTAATGGACACAATACGACGAAGAGAATCCTTTTTTCCTCAAAAAGGGTGCGAAGATTGAAATTCAATGCATAGAACCTACGACATAACCACAGAAAATGTTACTCAGTCCAGACTATTTCTTGCAGATCTCCAAGTTAAAAGGACTAGTATTACTAGGATTACCCCATAAAATGTATTGAAAGCTAGGGTTACCACTTTAGGTAAAAACAAGGGAATTAACCGTTTGGGTCGGATTGCAAGTACAAGAAATATATTTCGACATTTCGTATCTAACCAGGGCGCTTTCCCAAATAGAGCCTGAATAAGATGCATATGCTATTTGTCTACAGTCCAATTGAGTAACACCAAGAGAATGACAAGAGTTAGGGAAGCATCACTATCCTCTTCTTAATTCTGTTGCAGCAATTTTATGACCAGAAGTAAAGTTTTTCTAACCTCTTAGTAGCATATGTGATATGTTTGTCGTCCACATATATGTAGAAACTGAAGTACAGACGGGTGACGGCATCACCACTGAACTTGGCAATGGTCTTTAACATTTGCTTAAAACGTAAACGACTATGCATGTCGGCCCAGTAGGAAACACGGCGAGCTATGATCGGATGAGAGCTCGAGCTGGTAAAATCGATCTTTTCCCACAAAAGAGGGTCATGGGCTGCAGCACGCCAGGATTGGCACACCCCAGCAACACCATAAACCAAGTCCATCAGGTTTAGGGTCATAAAAATCTTCACAAGAACGTCATATTCCATGTTTGCCCACGGGGACTGGGATGAATCGCTACCCTCCATCTCACCAGCTTATATTTCCTATAACACAAAGAAACAAGAGAAAAAAAGTATTGATGAGAGGTTGTTTACCCAAACCATCTGGTTCTACAGCGATCAGACCGGTAGATCTCCTAGTGAAACCCATAAAGCAACTACAAGACGATAATGCATGCACACATACACAAGCTTTCTTATTATTTGTACCTAAGACTTACACTAAAATTTTATAAAATTTCATGAAGTTTCTACAGATTTCAAACAGGCAGTTCTTTTCAGATATTAATGAGTAGTATGCCATGGTTATGAAAATCATTTTCCAAGAATGCCCAAACAAGCTTTTTTCACAGGCGAATAAAATCAATTCAGGCAAATCATAATTACGTCCGCAAAACAGGAAATTCAAATATAATGCAAGAAGCGCGGGAAAAGCAAAAAGATCCCAACAGTATTATGTTGGTATTTTCTTTTCCTATCTTTCATTCGGTCAAGTGGAATAACAATTTATCTACGTTGGTCACAACAAAAGGAACGATAGTCAGCAGTTGATATATACACATATATGTGTGTGTGTGTGTGATTCAGGTATATAGTGAAAAACAACATAAAATCCAGAACACAAATTAATTAACCATGATTCAAGACCTAGGTATAACAGTCCTACCTTCGACTCAGGTTAATAGTCTGCTTAAAGCTTAATGGAACTTTGATATGGTATAACACTTGATCTGCCATATCTAAATGGAAGTATCATCTACAACATGAAAGAAAAAAGAGAGAGAGAGATCCAAACAAACACAGATTTCTCTTCTGTTACAAGGATTACATACTTCATTAAAATATAAGACAATGAGCGTACACACCTTTGATAGATTTGCGAGAAAAAATTCCAAACAATCAGAGATGAACTACTCGATTTCAACAGGCAAGGTGTAACATGTAAGTGTGTGTGAGAGTGAGAGAGATGGGGAGAGAGAGAGAGAGAGAGAGAGAGAGAGAGAGAGAGAACGAGTGTCTGAAAGCGACCAGTGAAAAAAAAAACAAGAAAAAGCAGCTGAAAATGACAGAGAAGGAAACAAGAGTTGATACCTCAGGTGTATGCGTTTTTTCTCAAGCTTATCTTCTGTATCTAGGCTCTGAAAACACCTCATTATATACAAAACAAATAGTGGAATCCAAAACAAACTTCCATTTCAGAAAAAAGTAGAAAAATGAATCCTTTCTTAGAAATCATTAATTTACACCTGATAAATTGAAGACATAATAGGAAAATAGCAGCCTCAAAACATTAAAAACTGATTCTATATATGTAAAATCATAGATATTTAAGAGAAGAAAAAAAAGGAGCAAAACTCACACATGTCGTGACTACATGCCTCTGCGTGCTATTTTTTTTTCTTCTTCACTGAAAACAAAAATGTATCACCTTTATATATTCGCCATATCTCGGCATCACCCGCTTCATCTTTCTTCCTGAACTCTCAAAATGATATGTATCAGAGCAGAACTAACTACGTGAGATCAAATATAAGAAGATTATATAAACTCATATCATCCAAAGTTTTCCACCTGAATATCTTCTGCTACTAACCTTTCCACATTATTTTGTCGATTTTGTTTTCAATCAACATTTTCACGACATCCTTTCCCTCTTTCCCGCGTAGATAGCATTACGCGTAAGCCACTGCTGACGAGTGCCCGGAACCATAGTTATGCATAACATGGCAGTATCATCAGCCACCAGACAGGAAAAAGTTTTTCATCAATGCTACTTGAGAATTCCGTCAATCTATTTTCAACAAACCCACAATGATAAATAGAATTACTATGTTGTGATGATCAGACAGAATAACAAGTTTATACAAATCAAAATCGCGCCTGAATTCGGAGGGACAATTATAATGTGTTCACAACCGATTGCTCCAAATGCACTGATTTCCCGTGAAATTGATCTCGAATTTACTCGATAGATTACTCGTTAATAAAGGAAGAAACCGAATTCTGCACGAAAGAATCCTAAGCATACAGATCAAATCAACCCGATTAATCGCCCATAGATATGAACAAAAACTTCGGAAAATTTCGGGAATTTCACGAACTAACGAACTACGAAATCACAAAATGAATTAACTGTTCGCACCCGAAGAAGGGGAAGCGTCAGCGTTTCTCGTTCCAACGGATGCGAAGCTTCTTCTCCGTCGCGGCTACGGTGAAATTTCAACGGACGAGAAATCTTAGGGTTTATCTCACAGTTTCCCCGGTGAGAACACCGGATTAGCGTTTCTCGGCACCGCATTCTGTTCGCCGGCGAATGGCGTCGATGGCGCGGGTTTGATAATACGAGAGATTTGTTCTTTATTTGGGCCGTGAGTGCAAAATTTGGAATTTTGGTACGAAAAACGAAAGAAAATAATTAGCAAAAGTAGTTTGTTCTTTAAAAAAAAAAAATTTGTTCGCCTCTAGTAAAAACATCTTTTTCTATAATTTAAAATTAACGAAATAGCTCACGTTCTTAATTTTTTAAATTTAAAATTATTTTTATGTGTTTTTTTATAGATCGTTCAGAGAAAATATAGAGCCAAAAAAAAAACATAATGGAAAACGACCCGACCAGATCAAAGTCTTATTTATTCTTATTCATATTGATATATAGATTGAAGGGTTCTTCTTCAAAGTTCACAAAAGGATCATAAAGGTGCAAACTTTCTCAGAGAAGAACCCTAAATCTCAGAAAGCAAACTCTTCAAGCTCATCCTCTCTCCAAATCTCCTCCCTGTAGTTGAAATCTGGATCCGTACCCGCAAATGGGAACAAACTGCTGCAGATCTCGCAGTCATCCTTCGAACAGACAAGAAACTTCTCCAAATTCATCTTCGCCCTCCTCACAACAGTTCTGTTCGGTTCCTTGTAATACCTGACAGTGTTGTTCACTTGAGGTATATCTCTGAAAATACAATGAGAGAGATTCAGATTCTTCAGACGCAAGTGTCGGATCAGAATCACAGTCACAGCTTCTTTGTACACAATGGAGCAGCGCAGGCTGAGGGATTTGAGGTTGGGGAGAGCATCGACGATGGATTTGGCGAGTTCCACTGTCAACGGAGACATCAGTTTGAGATTCGCTAGGTTTTTGCAGTTCTGTCCGACGGCTCGAAGCTCGCGTCTATGTCTCCTGAACCCAGGGATGATAAGCGTTTGCAGTTGTCTCCACTGACTGCATGCGAACTCGAACGAGCTCTCCATTAAACTGTTCCATGGCGGTATCGCCAGCTTTCTCACGTTCGGGGCCCTGAAACAGACAAGGACAAGACCAGTTCCATATACATATCGAACTCAAAACGTAGCTTTCGAGGTCGTGTTCTTGACAGTAAAAACATCGTACCTTTCAGCTGCGAGGGCGAGATCGTCCTCACGCAGGAAGACGAAGAAGTTGAAGAAGAAGTTCTTGGCATGGCGGCGGCCAAAGTGGGTGACGTCCACCAGTATCTGCTCGAGCCTGTTGGATTCTTCGTCTTCGGCCCAAGAATTCGGCTTCTGAGGAGCTCCGTACTGACAGGAGCTCAAGTCGGTGAGATCGATGGCGTTCCAAAGGTCTTGATGGTAACAAGCATCGAACCACGAGTCGCAAACTTCCGGGAGGACATTGACAATCTCCATCACATTCAACAGGGCAAAGATCTTCACCAGAATCTTACTGTCCAGTTTGTCCCATCTCCGGACATTTTGCTCCATGTCTCCCTCCATTCGTCTGGATTGTTCAACCTGTACGGAATCAGAAATCGGATAAGTGAAGAATTTCTCACGTGGACAAACACAGTAAAACATGATACAGGCAAAAGCACGCTCAAGCTCAGAAAATGGTGTTTATTGTGCAAAAGTCGGAGACTTTGTCATCAAATTCCAGCGTTTTCTGCAATTTTCACTTCAGAATTCCAAGGGAATTCTATTACAGACACAATGTCGATGAAGAGAGAGATCTTTGCAGCGTTGATTTACCTAGAAGGTCTCAAGAACAAGTTCTCAGTGTTAAAGAGAGAGATGGGTTCAGGGACTTTGGGGTTTGGAGATTTTTATAGGCAGATTTCTTTCTGGTTCAGGGCCAAAAGGTGATAAGTGCATGGAATCTGAAATGGTACTCGGCCTGGATACGCCCTCTGTTTAATTGGACAGTTCAGTAACTTTTATAAAACTACCAAAAAAGGGCGAAAGCCGTAAACTTGGCACCATTTGGTTTTATAATATGCAAAAGGAAGGAAATAAACGGAACTTTCTGTCAAACTTGTTAAACCATAAAATCTTTCCATTTCTTGGATTTCTGTAATTGGGAAATCCAAAATCTGACAACTTTTCATAAACTTTGCATATTTGAGAATCTGGGCTTGTTTTCAAATTCAAAATAATATCCTGAAGGTCCACTTGCTTTTGCTTATCAGTTGTTAGGGGCTCTCCTGGTTTGTTCTGATGCTGCAACCTATGAACAAATCTGCCGTGTGTGTATCACCTAATTCACGGCATTTCACCTGTGACAACGTCTATTTCGAGCGACGAACCCTAGTTTTCTCAGATTTACGAGGTAGTCGTGAAAATCCAAAACTGTTAGTTTGTAATAAATCGGACCGAGAACAATCGTACATTAGTATACATTACAACGACGCTC